GAAAATTAACTCTATCCCAGCTGAAACCAGGACAGTGTTCAGATAATTACTGAGCCACCAACCAACCTGGGCAAACTACTTACAGGCTCCACCAGCACCCACACTGACACACACATGAGAGATCCTCCCTACCACCAGCAAGAATGATGCTTCACCTTCAGCATGCAAAACACTGGAACAGCACAAGAGGGGACATAAGCATTCAAGATGAAGGTGCAACAGACAAAAAGAACAGAGATAGGCAGTATTAATTCAATAGCCTAGGTGGAGATTGGGAAGTCAGTCAAGTAACCGAGGAGACGAGATCAACGAGAAACAGAAAGGATGTGTTGGCAGTAAGGCTGATTTTGTGTTTGCTATTCTAACTGCTAGACGAACAAAAGCTGGAAGTCCTTGGGACTTGCAACAGAATAGGGCAACAGTCATAGAAATCTTGACAAGGGTCTAATGCCACAAAAAAGTATTTAAAAAATAGATAATATCTGTAAGAAAGAGCTACTGCCTCTTTTCTTCAGGTTAGCAGCAAGAAGTAATAAAGAAAAGGGACTGTTCCTTTGTGCCCTATTAAGTAGCTTGACAGAGACAACAGAACAAAAAGGACCAACACTCAAGTAAAAAAAATGCAATGCAACATCCAGCTGACAGCATAGGGACAGCTGCCTCAGAGAGACTTTGATTAACCTTACTTGAACCTGTTTTGCATTCATAAAGCAAAGTTCGGAGATGAGTGGAGAGATAGTAAGGTACCATCACACACTACAAGCAGCATTGCTTCACGAAGGAAGCTTCACCAGCTGAATGCAAAAGCATACATTCAGGACAAAAAGCTCTTGAAAAATAACAGAGAAGATTTTCTGCTCAAGAAACCTCAGCTCTGAGGGGACTTGACACTAACAGCAACTCACTAAGAACAAGTGGCTGGAATAGCACAAGCAATTCACTCCTTGCTTCAACCGCTAGCAATGTCCAGGAAGCATGTCTCACTGGTAACTGTGGGGACTACACCATAAAAATCTTGCTCTTCATGCTTAACATGAAGTTGTAGTCTCACAGCAGCTTTCTCACCACTGGAAGCCAGCAGCTGGTAATGTAATTTTTCATTTATTGTGGTTTAACAAGAGACAAAGCAATACTACAGCAAGACAAGCTTGCTTTCCAAGATTGAACTTCTCTGTATGGCAATGTCCTTAAATGAGGCTGTGTTAAGAGAGTCACCAGGAGGGAACCCTTTCCAATGTGCAACTCACGGCACAGGCACGCGATAAACACCAACGGCATCCCTGGAGAACAGGTCCCTCTGTGTCCACCGTACAAACCCAGAGTTTCGATAGTCATGCCACAGAAAAGGCAGTTACATGTTGCATCACTCCAGTCACGATTTTGATATTAAAATACTGCAGTGCTGCATTCTTAAGCACCACCAGTGTCACATCGGAGCTGGCACATGAAAGTTTGCTTTAGATTCCTCAAGCACAAGAGACCTAAATTAGAAATGGGCATGCAGAGGGAGTGTATGGCATCAGACAACCCTGAAGGCTGGAAAGGGAAAGAAATTGCTGGCAGCATTGTATGGACAGATTTGCACAGCTGGCATGTGCTTCCTTTCAGCTGGCAGCAGGACCCTTCTGTTTAGGGAGGGGAGGTTCAGATTTGTTTTCTTGTGGGAGGAAACAGACCCTCTGTCCTTTCAAGGAAATGCACCAGGGAAGCCCTAAAAGATGCAGCCACTTTACTAACTTGCACTTTCTGCTAATAGGTTGCCTGAACAAACACCAAGCTCCTGATATGGCTAAACTGCGAAGTAGTCAACTCAGTCCTTCAACTACATCCAAGAACAAAATTAAATAGGTATTTTGAAGAGCAAGTATGTTAATCACTGTGCCTGGGATCTACCCAAATGAGGATAAAAACATGTTTTGTATGCAATTCAATGCTTGCAAGGCACTGCGAAGAAAAGCAATTGCAACAGGCTGCCACACTGCGGTAGCGGAGGAGGCAGAAGTCATTTCTTGAGTTCACCAATATCATATTCAAGAAGTGTTTTGACTCCCCAGTGTAGAGTTAAGCCTCCTCGTCTATTTGTACAGATGGTCAACCTTTCCCCTGGATTACATGTCTTGCTGTGTAGCCAACAAACTGTTCTCCAGCCCTTGTACAACCTAAGAAGCCCTCATTTTCTTCTGGCTGGAATTTCAGATTTCGTCCTGAAAGACAGTAAGGGTACCAACTCCTTTTCCAATTTGGCTTTAGGAACTACTTTTGAAGGCTTTTGGTACATATGCTTGATAACTGTTTGTTTTTAAAACAAACCCACTCATAAAAAGGACCCCCCAACCCCTCCATATAATTGAGTGCTTTGTTCTTTTTAAGCAAGTCTGAAAAGGTGAAAAGCTGGTAGCATAAGCTCTTTATTTAGAATGCAGGATTCTTGTATTAGATCCACCTTATGCACTTTGAAAGGAAGAAAATTTAAAAAGCAGAATATTTCAGGGGTCTGAATACTGTTAAATCAAGTATACACAATAAACAAACTACAAAGGAAATTCACACACAAGATGACATACTATACCTGTGGAAAGTAAATCTAGCTTCAGAAGAAGTCTAATGTTTCCCCCTCTTTTTAAGGAACAAATCTTTATAAGAAAGTCCTATTCAAGAATCAAGTTCTTGATCTGCCAAAGGGAGACTATTCTCTCAAAATACTTGAGAACATTACTTGCAGGCAGACCAGTCAGACAGCATATTACTCCATATCTCAAACACCCATAAACCAAACCTCATATATTTCACAGAGTTGCTCTTTTGGGTATACCCGTGTTCCACAGTTTCTTGGTATTTAACATTAACATTAGCAAGAAGTTAACCTGTGCCAAGAAAACAGTGTTAACACGTTGCTTTTGAGGGTATTGTTTTAATAAGACATTTATTCCTCCTGGAATTTTTTAGCTAATGAGGCCTGATAGAAAGAACTCACTTTTGGATGACTTCGTAATTAACATGTCTTAGTAAATTTGGAGGTCAGAGCTCTGCTCCGAAAAGCTCCTTGGGCTAGTTCGTACATTTCAGTTCACGTATCACTAAACATCATCAAGCCACCTGTGCCTGCAAAGTATCCAGGGTAGGAACTACCAAGCTAGAGACTGGAATCTCTGAGGCTGAGGCACAGCCCTCACAGGGCATCTCACAGTAATTAACATAAGCATCCCATCAGCAATTCGTGTTTCTGACACAACCATTTCCTGCCTTTTCTTTCAGATGCCAGGCTAGCCTAATTGCACGCATTGCAGTGGTCAGAACTCATATTCCCTTGTGTCTCAAGCTGGATGTTCAGTCTGGTGGAACGGTGGTCAGCACGTCTTGCAAGAGACCGAGCTTACAGTTTGGCTTTGGACTCACCTTTTCAGCAAGGGCTCAATATCCCTAACTATGACAAACACAACTGATCAACACATGACAGACTAGTTTCCTATGTTAAAAAACCCCACTAAGATCCAAATCTGTATCCTCTTGACAAAACAGTAAGAATGAAAGCAAAGAAGCCCAATTACAGAGAAGCAGAGAAATTCATCTTACCAACTGTTTCACTTTAACCACCTGCTGAGCACCCACTGACTGTGCAACGATGGAGTTTGGCTGTGAGATTTTAATACTGATTGGGGTTCCAATGACTGGTTTCAGAGGCTGGAGAGGGGTTGCTGCTGAAGATGCCGCTGTAGAGACCAGCACTGGCTTTGCAGACTGGAGAGAGGACGTTGCTACCGCAGAGGTGAAGACGGGCTTGACAGTTTGGATAGCAGTCAGCCCTGATGTTGCTATTGTTGTGGTGAGGACTGAAGCTGCAGGCCGAAGGGATGCTGTCACCACTGCAGACGCAGGAACAGGCTTCACGGTCTGCAGAGAAGCTGTTGCCGGCGCACTGACAAGAACTGGTTTTATAACTGGAGAGGCTGTAACTGTTACAGAGGCAGACACTGGTTTTATAACTGGAAGAGAAGTTGTTGCTACAGCTGAGGTTGCCACTGCTATCAAAGGAGCTGGTACTGCAGAGGTACAAGTCGAAACAGCTTCTTGGGTTGGAGCTGGCTGCTGCATACACTGCTGGATAAAGCTCTGAGCATTGGGCATTAGCTGCCGTAAGGCAAGCATGCTTTTCTAGAAGAAAAACGAAAAAACACTGGATGTAACATCAGCAGAGGCTTCCACATTACTGATACCTTAAAAACTGAATCTTCTTCCTCGTCTTCCAATTTAATTTTTCATGAGACAATAAACTGCTTATTCCAACAAGTTTTGCCAGAATTCAGGCACTCTTAAACTGATGACGATAACGCTCAGTGAAGACCACAAGAATCACCAACACAGGCTGAGCAAAGGTCAGTCACCATAGCTTTATTGCATGTAGCAAATCCCATCTATAGGGAAACTCACCCATAACTTTGTTCTTCTGTTTAGATTTTTCAATTTGGAATTTATGTTCTAGAAAAAGATGATTTTAACTGTTTCACTACCTCAAAAAACTTCCTTTTGCCAAAACCCCCTCCTATATTATAACAGCGATGTTTATTCCATGAAGCCTGTCTGACAGAACTACAGATTATCCAATAAAGTCAGAAACAAGCTTTGAAGAGATGAGCACTTCTATACCAATACAGCTGTATCTACACTAGGGGGGGATACCACTTTAATAATGCCTGTACAGCTGCAGCAGCACAACTTAAGCCAGATAGTTCTCTGCAAGAAGAGAACATTAGTAAAGGTATCTGGCAACAGCTCATTTTTACTACAGCTATGTTTGAGAACACTAATGGACAGAATAATCTTCAAGCCCTCTACAGATTTTTCTCCTTGACTATTTACAATCTGATATGGCTCAGAACCAGGGGAAATCAGTTCTGCAGCTACCTGTGTACCTCACAAACCTTCCCTCCCACCCCCCCACAGCTTTTGAAGTCTGTAAGTCTCCAGAACAGTGCTGTTGCTCTGGGCTTCATGTAAAAGGAACATGTTGTCTCACATGCTAATATACCAAGTGAACAAACTGTTTAAACAGCTAGGTCTTCTGTGGCACACCTATCTTTAATGTTCACTTCCTTTTCTTTTAAAAGGCTGCTCAGCTTTCCTCATGCTCCTGATGCAATTTATTTACCACAAGCATCCAGCACAGATTTGAAAAATCAAGCAGACTTTACAGCCAAAGTCACTGTACTTTTCCACCTATTGGAACAGACAAAACAAAACACATGCAACAACTTCATCAAAACCCTGCAGCTCAAGGTAAGAGACAACTCCAGAGTCCTCCCTAAAATTCCTCTTCGCTAGCTAAAAGTGAATTGGCAACAAGCCGTATCACATTTCTTTCCAGACTCAAGCTGCAAGCATTTCCCACACAAACAAGGCCAGCACCGATCCTCGTAGCACCTTAGAGAAGTGCTCCTGAAGTCACCTTCCATTTGGCACTCAGTCCTGTCACAGCTGCTCACAGTTACAGACCAGACCTAATTGGTGTGTATCAACTACACATCCTTAAGGTATTTTGGAAAAAAGCAATCAGCATGCAATAAGTTTTAAAGGATGTGTAACCCTACAAAGTCAGCTAACTTTGACCATGACAATGCCTACGACATTTCTGAAGTCACAGTACTTCCTTGTTAATATAGCATGCGACAGGGAGAGAGCACCTTGTCAAGGATTATGGGGTATGGGTACTGCCCAAAACAGAAAAGCCTAGATGATACCAGTGCCTGGCAGCGTGCCACAGGAGAAATGTGCAACAGCTTTGCTGTGACGGGTCAGGGTCTGACCCGCGCTCATGAACCCAACTTAACTCCTGCAGAACTGCCTCAAGGCGCGTGCACCACATGCAGCAGCTCTCCATTGTGGGATGGCTTACTAACTCAGGCCGAGCACTTAGAATCGTTTAGGTGGGAAAAGACCTTTAAGATCATCCATTCTGCAAGTGCATGAGGACAGTGCTGTGCCTGAGCTAATAAACCCTCGGGGGACCCAAAGGCGTAGAAGCTTTAGCAAGTGCTGCACAGCCAGCCCTTGGCTCAGCTCCTCTGCATGAACAAGTCCAGGGCTGCCAGGGCTCACCAGCCCTTGGTGAGGTCTAGCTGTGCAAGACTTAGGCTGGGTCTGCGTGCAGCTACTGAGGTTCCCCCGCGCTGTTTTGGGAACACAACAGCACCTAAGATGGCCCCACGCACACACAGCCACCCCACATCCCATGGGGTTCATCAGCCAGGGCCCTGCAGAAGGCAGCTACCCTACTTCTGAAGCCTAACTTGCCCTGACAGTTAGAAGAGCTCTGCTGAGACTTCATACAGCTCATGGAAAATCTCTGCCAGTCACGCTGACCCTGCACTCACAGCCTGGTCCCTCTGCAGCCAGAGCTGCACTGGATGCAGGAAAGCCCATACTCCGAGCTGTTTGTTTTTCTAGCTTTTGCACTGGCATTTAAGAAACCTCCAGGAAATTAAACAGAGAATAAATAAGTGACCAATATGAAAATGTTATATCAAGCTCTGCAGAGATGACTGTAGTCTTCCAGACTCATGGCAAACTATCTAGCAAAGCATTTAAAGGCTGCCACTGTAACAAAAATATTCATCCCACACTTGAACAGATTAACACCAGCCATCTAAAGTAGTATCAACATTACCATGTGCATTGTTATATGTGCTGTTAAATACTAAGGAAGAGGACAAACTCCAGAAAACCTCTGTCCTGGCTTTATCACTTAACTATTTTTCCTTGATTCTCCACCATGCCTATAATGAGTGCCAAGGAAAAGTACCAATCTATCAAGCCTAAGAATACTGTGTACATTGCAATTAAGTAAATGTAACCAAGTTTTCCATGTCTTCGCTGGGATTTAATGCTTGCTGTACCACAAATATGTTCATTTTTATTTTGTTAATATCATTCTACCATATCATTATAAGTGTTAAGGTAGCATTTTTTAATTTACATGATTATTTGCTTGAATGGAGGTAGAGTTGTCCTGGGTTACTGTTCCTAGTCTGTAGTAGTCCTGTCAGACCCTTTCTGGAGAAAGGAGCGGGGGGTTTTTCTCCCTCCAGTTAAACACAAACCAGCAGACAGATTAATAGCTTTATGTAGATTCTTTGAGCTTAAATACTGCATAAGCTGTGCGCAGCCACTGTTGATGGTCTTCTGTATTAGAAGTCAGAATAGCTACAGTTTTCATGAGGAAGTAAGAGTCATCTCAGTATAGCTGCTCTACTGTAGATGCACCAGCTTCCAAAACATTAGTCTCCACTAACAACTAGAGGATAATTACTCTCCAATTTAAGAACACAGTGTAAATCACTCCTCTGAAATCCTCCCTCCCCCAAAAAATTGTCTTTACAAGAGCACCAGTCACACAGGGCTAGGTTAAGCACCATTTCTTCAAGTGACCTGAGCAAATACCTATTTGAATGCTCTGCCTCTTTCCTTTTCTTTTCTGGTCTTCCTCCCTCCCCTTGTTAAATACTATATATCCACAATCAGGCACTTACCTTGAGAAAAGGAACTAAATATGGTTGTGGAGATGACTTGAGCTCTATGTATAGCTTTTTTGTAAATTCTTCTGGTTCAATTTTTGCTTCCTAAGGGGAAAGTATAATTACAATGCTAAGTTATAACTATGAATCTACCATATTTTTTCCCAGATGTATCAAAAATTCACGAAGTTTACATTATCATGGAATTGTTCAATTTCAGTACTCAAACACTTTGTTCCTCCTGTATTTTTTAACAAAAGGGTTTAGGATGGAATGATGTTGTAATTTAGATATAATATTATCAAATTAAATTACTTTCTTGAACTACAGGCAGTTAACACACTTAAGGGTATTTGTTCAAATACTGGTTCACTGAAGTGAACTGATAGAAACAAGTTTATAAGTAGCACTGATCCTTTTGAGTACCTCATTGTTATGCAGAGATATTTAAAATCCACTACAAGTACTTTTTTTTCCTGTAAAGGTAGTCTATCTGCATAAAGATCAATTTAAAGAGACCAGAGACAAAAGACAACTGAGTAGTTTTTGTAAGACAATTCCAGTCTAATGCATACATAGCATAATAAAGCAGAACACTTAACATTGTCTTTCAAAAGCAAGAGAAATTGAACATCAGAACATCACCTCTGCATACCACTATGGTAACAGCCCTCTGCCTCGCAGAGCACAGTCTCCTTTCTTAATGCTTTCTGCTCTGCCCCAACACAAACACCTGACTCAAGGGCTTGGGAGGGTTAGGAAGCCACAGCAGACTGCTGAGACCCCTCACTCGCTACTTCAGTGCCAGCACGACGGGGCTAAGGTGGTGGGTAGCCCCAGACACTGCTGCCCTTTCTCACCCTGCCAGGTGAGACCCTACCGTGGAGTCACCAAGAACATTACCTCCTCCAAGAAGGTACAGAGACACACAAGGAAGTGACCCCAGCACCAATCTCTCTTTCTGCAGAGAAATTACTCCTCTTGCCCATAATTCGCCTTTGGAAGAACTGTTCCAAGGAGCTACATGACCAGAGCAGGTCTTTTAAGGACTGCATATTTACAGACAAACAGAACTGACAGCAGCTCTCCTATTTAGTCATTTGATCTGCTGCCTGTTAGGTCTCACTGAGCTGTGGATACAGGTCACCGAGGTCTCACTGACTGTACACTACGTCTCGGTGCATACAAGGCACTTGACACTCACTTCATGAGATGCTGCCTTAAGGACCATTTTACTTTAGAGCTGCTGTTAACTTATTTGCCTCATACATACAAGACATTCATTTATTTTGCATTTAAATCATGTATACATACCGAATGGCAGACTAACAGCATTTTTAAAATACTACAAAAAGCAAACAAATGCACAGTTAATGATATATTGATGTCTGGTAACAACTGTTCTTAAAAAAAATAATAAAAGTACTGTAAGCACAAGAAGGAACAGCTCTAGTATTTTCCTACAGAAGCAAGGTGTATAGTCCAGCAGGGATGCAGAGGCAGAGGAATCAAATTTTTGCAAGGCTGCATCTTCAAACAATCTGCTCTCTGAAATCACACCTCTGACTACACCATGCTTTTCTAGACTGAAAAGTTCTTTGGTACCACTAGCAAAGCCATCCCCCTCCACCAGCCCACAGCCTTCTGCTACGGTGGAACAACAAAACAGCAGCAGCGGTCAAATGCCAAGACAAGAAGTGGCAGGAGAAATCGTTACCAAGAAAACCCAGCTGTGCTGGGGTACAGCACAACGCAGCATACGGAAGCCACCTGCAAGGAGAGAGAGGTTGGCAGCCACCACGTTATTTTCTCCATCCCGTTGTCTAAAGACATAGATAATGTCCTGCTTGTTCCACTGAAGCTTCACTATCAACCTGTCAGTCAGTTCTGTCTTGGAGTAAGGCAGTTGTACGGACTTAGCACTGCACTACAACCTCCATGGTAATACTCTTGCTATTGAGGACTCAAAACTACACTTAACATGAAAAAAAGGCAGCTCAGCCCCACAAGCTGTGTTAACCCTATCACCTCCTCCTGCTGTCAGTTATCTGTGTGCATAAAATGAAACAGGAACGTGAGGGGGGAAAAATACAGCATGGGATGTGGTTAAAATAAGAATTATAATGTAAGACAAAGAGGGTCAGACGTACTCAGCCACAAATCCAACTCTTCAGCTGTTAAAAAAAAAAAAAGACAAGGAACAAAGCTATGATGAAGTCAATGTCAAAAATGATATGATGCAGACTTTGTTTAAAAAAAGCCTCACCAATAAATTTTGCACCAGATTCTTCACATTCTGTCCCATCTCAGGGGCTTGAGGTCCACTAGATGCCAGTTTTATTAGTGTAGCAAGAAAATTCTTGCATTTCTTCACATTCTCTAGCATCTCCTAGCGTGGAAATCAAGAGAAGACTGTTAGATGTTGCATTGGCCCTCCAACCTCTGATGAATATAGAGAATGTTAATTTTTAATTAAAAACTTTTTTTTCCTTACTGTAGAGGCGCTGGTCTGTGTTACTGTTGTGCCCTCTGCTTTCACAGAGACTGCCTTTTGGGAGATAGCTTGTGCAGGTGGTCCTGTAACTGGAAGTTTTACAGGTGTTCCAGTACTCGAAGGCTTTACAGCAGTAACTGTAGTAACACTAGCTGTTGCAGCTGCTGGCTGAAAAGAAAAATTAACACTTTTTAACCAAAGACTAACGTGACAAACATACTGCATTCTGCTAGCGTGTAATGTAGCACCCTCCCTCCAACACTACTATTTAAAACATAAATAACCAATTTTTGTCTTTGGTTTTAAAGTTTGGACTCATTTGCTTTGAGAGGCTCTATTTAATACAGTAAGTGACAGAACCCCCACAGCCATAATTCTGTTTTTAAATCAAGGGCGGGGGGAAGAAATGGCAAAAGCTCACCCAGACTGAGGCACCGCCTGCAACTTCAAGCGAAGAGAGAAAGGTAAAGTTGTCTTGAAGAAACCAATATATTAACTTTGCCAGGCTCCTGCACTCTAGGACTAATGAATTTTGGACAATGCTAAGCCAGGCGATACTACACTGAAGATAAATACGACCTTAAGTGATTATTTATCTTCCTTTCTTCCCCTGCAGCTCCTCTCCCAATTGCAATATCCTTTATTCTCCCTATCACGTGCGCAGTAGGCAAAAGATGTCGTGTCCACTTTGGAAGGATGCATGTGCCAGCAGAAGCATTCAGCTGAGCAAATTCACCTAACAAGTTCTTCCTGCCTTTTCCTTATGGGCAGCAATTTGGATCTCTCTCTCCTCTGTCCAGACACAAAGCCTCAAAAAATTCAGTTATTTTGAGACTTCTTTCTAAAGTCTCATTAGAATTTACCAACAGATTGAGAAGCTCCAGCAACAGGAGCGTAATGAAGGTTTAGGAAAAAGTAAGAACACAATTGCCTCTCTCCTTTGCAAACCAGGCTAAATAGTAGTTTCCAGAGGAAAACCTACTAAACTGAAGTACTTCTACTTCAGATTTTAAAGAAAAAAAAAAAACCCCAAACAACCCACACTGAAAAAACCCAACACAGTTCTTCTGATACAAGAGAACACAATATGAGTAAAAGACTTTGCCTCTATAAAAACCACTACTTTCGATTTCTCAACTTGAAAACGAAAAAGCGAGATTGAACTTGCTTACAGAAAAGGAGGAGTTTCAAGTTAGCATTTGAAACGTGAAGTTGGTGTCATTTTTCCTCCAAACGTTTCCAGAGAAAGGGAAAGTCTGGTTTTGTAGGCTGAATTCTAGGTTCAGATCTGTGCAACCCAATTGCTTTAACTGACTCTTAACACACTTAAACACCACAGTTTATTCCAGCAATCACAAATTAATACGTGGTAATTGCATTAATGATAAGACAGTAGCACAAGAGCCCAAATTACCCTACCATGGATAAAACAAAAACTAATCAGACTTGGACAGCCATCATGTAGAATACCAAAGGGCTATTAAGTCTTTCGGGATAGGGAAAATTAATGAGCAAACATTTAAAGCTAAAGCAAAACACTCGCACTTTTGCTCTTTATTTGTAAATTATTTTTTTCCTGGGTGGGTGTCCCCCCTCCTTCCCAAGCTGCTGCCAGCTTGACATGAAAGAAGCAGGCAGCTACCAGAAAGCTTTCCAGCTTAGGCTCCCACTGTTGGTAACACTTTAATAGCTCTCCGCAGGATCTTTGCCACCACCACTGCCTCTTCCAACGATGAGGCTCAACAGCTCTAAGACCACAGGGAGGCAAACTGGGCACAAGAATCCCACAAACAGATGGACGGGAGGAAGACGGAAGGGGACAGAGTACCGATCTGTCAAGCTGCAACGCCCTGGGCTTTTAAAAGCCGAAAACATGAGGTTCGCAGGAGCTCATCTCTTGCAAATTCCAGCGTGTTTACACATCAAGACCAGAACGGCATTTTATCAGCTGAGGGAGGGAACAACAGGAAGTCTGCTGGACCTTTTTCCCAGGAAGATGAATATATGGGAATTAACTTCTGTCATCTGCCCTCAACCTTTTTCACTACTGACAATTCTCATTCTCACTTCGAGCAACAGAGAAACAGTCGCCACAAAAAATGGCATTAATCCTGCATATTTTGAAGTCATTTCAAGAGAAGAAGTGCTCTGCATCTAAATGAAAGTGCCCCAGCATGATGCTAATTAGATACTTTGCAGCTTTGTTACCCCACCTGGGAAGAAGGTAAAAAATAAAAATGTGCAGGTATTTTGTCTAACCTCAGAGCTTAAACATTCAGGAATGTCAAAAAACTGAAATATTTTGGTAGATGAGGAGAATAATCCTGGTCTCAGTAACTACAGTTTTGCAGATAGTAGCGTTCCAAGTTGTACTTAGCGTGGGACAGGAGATACACAACCAAGCCAAGGATTATTTCCTATCCACTGTCTCCCATTTTTTGTGATGACATCATACTTCCACACCAACACTCCTCTCTTGTGACCTCAAAAAACTGTCAAGACTAACATCAGCAAGTTCTTTAAGAACTGATGAATGAACCGCTGCCAAGGAAATCAGACCCAAGGACTCGTCTGTCTTTCCCCAGACAGTTCCTGCAACCTTATGCATGGACTCCCTTGTCAGCACTCTTCTTTTGTCTGCCCCAGAGTGAGGAGTGAAGCCGCCCTGTGATGGCAGGATGTATCCGTATTGCACCTATTTACTCTTTATTGTAAGAGGAGCTTGTACAGAGAGAGGGCTTTGCAATCCTCTGCAAAACAGAGGAGCTCCAAGGAAGCCACTCCAAACAGAATGGCACTATTAATTTTTCCTAGAGTCATCGTTCCTGCTGTTTAAATCCAGCCCTATGCTCATTAGAAGTGTTCAAGTTTCTACAACTGAAAAACATACAGTTTACAAAAAATACTCCATGCCTACCTCTTTAAATATCTCAGAAGAACACAAGTTAAATTATTACATCAAAACTGATCTAAGAAAGTACAGAAGAACCAAGACAAAGGCAGATGTAAATTTAAAAAGGAAACGTTAATAGCATGATGAATCTCAATGTTTATCCACATGAGCGCATGAGGATGCAGGCAGCTTCATCCACCAGATGGAAGAAATCTTTACCTTCATCTCTTCTCAGTGCAATGGTAGTATAGCAGATGACTATTGTTTTTATATCCTAAAGATCTCTATGCAGAGATCACAAGCACATGGTTTGCAAGCTAGTATTCCAAAATAAAAGTGCGTAAGGAATACCTGTTACTGTTCTTAGACATAAAGCGTATGTGGTTTCTATTCTAAGCAAAATAGAAAATGTATTAAGAGAAGCCTCTGGATTTTCCCCTTTAGCCCAACATTATCGATCTGTAGTGAGAAGGAAGAAAAAAAAAAAATCACGGGCAGAGCTGTGAGTATTTTTCAGTTGCTGATATAGAAGAGCAGCAGGAGGATGAATTTTTAAGTCAGACTGTTAGTTACCGCTGTAAGCAAACATGTCCCCCAATCCTTCAAACACCTTCAAGGTCAAGAGCATACATCCAGCATGGTTTTTTGAATGACTGATCCTGCTCACTTACTGAATGCTTGGTCAGCCACTACAGCCCAGTCTCCTTCAGCCTCTTGTTCACAAAAGAAAAGGTACGTACAAGCCAGACTTCTTCCCAATTTCTCCTCCAGGTTGAGAGGAGAACAAAATATTTTAGCTGTAGAAAGAAGCAGTTTTCTTTTCATCACACGTGCTTATCCAGAACTCTGGTCTCCAAGAACACAGGAAGAACTGTATCTAGGAGAAGACTCATACTCTACAGGTAGCAAGAGCCTCTTCAGAAGAGCCCTACAACATTTTTCTCCAGAAAAAGAGAAGTAAGACAAAAAACTACCTAAAAATAATGAGGCATTTCCAACCACTGCCTATGTTCAGTAGTATCTGTGGAACCTGTCTACCAAATTCAATTAGTGAACAGAGGTTTTCAGCTATGACCTTCCTTCAGCTTTTAATGAGGGGGAAAAAATGTGTAGACCTGAAAAACAGCTTGACTAGTGCAGACAGCTCATTTTCCCCCTCAACAACATCCCAGGTATACTTTTTTCCCCCCCTAAGGAATCAACGAACCCAAACAGGAGAGAGCATTAGGAAGTCTCCATCTCCGAGAAAAGCATCAGTTAGAGCTTGAAGGAGCTGTGTCATAGGGTACAAAGGCACTGGAAATGGCTCTCTGAACTATCTATTTTATCCATTGTTCATGCGCTTTCTACTGTAGTGAGAGAAGATGAGCTGACACACACTGGCAGAAGCATAATTAAATTATGCGTTTAAAAAAGACATTCAGGAAAGAATTTATCATGAGGACAAAAGTTACCAGCTCAGTGAAAACCAGATTAGAGTTAGGAAATGACAAGAATGTATCCGTATTTTCTTCATTTCTCTCTGTCACTTATTCCACTGCACAGTAAAGCTTGCCACCTACCTGTATTACAGCAGGTGGCTGAACAGTAGAAGCCACAGCATTTGTTGTTTGGGATAATGGTTTCACAGGAGTAGCTGCTACTTTCTTTACTAACTGGGTGCCAGAGTTCTTGAAAAAATAAAAATAAAAAATAATTAAACATGTGCAGAGAACAGCTGTCAGGCAAGTAAACGACAGAACAGACACTGAAGTTAGTACCGGCTCTTGTCTGATATAAACCAAGACATCCACTCTTACAGTAACAACAGAGGCATCATTCACATAGCCCATATAGTTTAAACACTGTTCAAAGCTATTTCTCTACCAGTTTAATAATCAAGAACAGATTCAGAGACATTTAGACACAATGCCTAATCAGAACAAAACAGTTAAAGGATAAGCCTGTTGGCGAGACCTACGCAGATGGTTACTTTTTTTATACCCACCCTTCCTCTTGTATGCCGACTACATTGCAAGAGACAGAAGCAAAAAGCCAGCAGAGCTCAGGGACAAAGGAACATCCTGGGGACATGTGAAAGGTCCTCAGCTTCACTCAGGTTCAGAGAAGTATCCCACCAGAGGTTCGCAAGGTTGCAGTTACTAGCAGTAACCATTTAAGTAGGTTTTTTTGTTTTGGGTTGGTTTTGGTTTTAAAACCCTTCACATCATGATCATCAGAGAGGAATCCCCTAATTTGAACTATACCATATGTAACAGCTAGCAGTTTTTTCAAACTGAGAAAGCAAAGCACATAGTGAAGTTTATGTGCAAAACCAAACACCATCATGCTGTTCAGACAGTGCTCAAATGCTTATGTAGCCCTCCATAACTTATTTGCAAACCCTGTTATAACTACACAACATACAGCTACATCAAATTAAAGCTATGAGAGAAGTTACCTGTACAGCACATATTCTGATTGCAGGTGTGCTGGTCGGTACAGATGGCCTCACACTTGTGTTGTTTTGTGGCTGACTCTGTGCTTGCGCTATTGCTTGTTGAGATACTAGCATTAGTTGGCCATTACTGCTTCTGATAAGAACAGTTCCTGTTGGAGAAAAACATCCAGACTGTTAGAAATTAAGCGATATTATGGCTTTCCTATGCTACTGTGGAAGAAATAACTAGACCACACTGATAAGATAATGTAATATTTAGTTTCTTACTCCAAGGAACAGCTGCCAAGAAATGTAAGAGCTAAGTGCACTTCAGCTTCACTCTACATTTTATGACAGAAAACAATTCCTAAAGTCAAGAGAAAAACTTAACTAGACAGCCACATCAAAACACTATGTGTATACAAGATGCAAACTGCAAAGCAGTTCATCATTTGAGTCAAAAAGATATTTTGAACATTAAAAAGACAGACACACCACACACACACTCTCTGGGATTACTTTAACAGTAACTTCTTTAAGCAGTTCTTCAACCTGCAAAATTCATCACCACTATCACACTTGGCTGCCTCTATACATTTTCACTTTCTGAACATGTAGGCACATACTTACAGGTGAAGATATGGTTTAGAGAAAACCTGCAATGGGAACTGAAGCCTGATGAATACCAGTTCACTTGCTTACATCAAGACTATCCCCCTTGGTCAGAGGGCAGTGGTCTCCAATGAAAGCCAAGGCCACTCAGACATTTGAAGCTGACCCTCTGTCAAGGGTCTGTCCAAAAGCATTAAAATGCATGGTTTTAATCAAAACAGCTTATGGCAAATAGGGAGATTCCAATGGGAAAGGAAAAAAAAAAGAA